GAAAAACATATATATCTCACTATCAAAAAAGACTATATTCTTAAATTAAGAATATATTCTTAAATAAAGAATATATTCTTAATTTCAGAAGAATATCATCTAAAATCTTTAAGAAGATTTTTTAAGTATAAAATCTTCTACTTATAAGTATATAATTTTTTCGGTGTTTACGAATCACAGATCTTTTGTAATATAAAATTGACACACACTGAGAAAATCGATATCTAGTTTTGAAGTAATATATTGTTAATCTATTATTTAAATATGAAAAAGCCATTTTTTAATATTGTTTCGTGTTACATTAAAACACATAATTATTATTTATATGAAAACACTAATTATTTGTGTTATATTACTTAAGTTATATTAGATATTATGTAAACATTGCTCTTGTGTGTTATTTAGACGCACACACTTTCAACAAAAAATATGTTTGCAGAGCGCAAGGAATTGAATCTTTATCTTTCGCGTATTATTGGTTTCAATTCGCTCTTAATCAGCTGGTTATTGCATATTTTCATCGCGTTTAGCCATCCAATAAAGATTAAGATCTCGCATTCTTGAAATTTCTAACTCAATGAAGGCAGTCTCAGAAAGGGAGATGCTGCCGGCGCGATAGAAGAGTATAATCGCTTCGTTCGCTCGCGAAACGGTTTTCGGTCACGAAAGTGTAAGTTGCGCTTCATTGCGCTCATCGATCTTCGCGTTTGCGCACACAATGGATCGATTTATATGCCTCTTATCTCTCTCTCTCTCTCTCTCTGTTGCAGATCGATGTTAGCTTTTATGACGCTGAGCGCGGCCTGTGCCTCGGCCTCCCACATGCCGGAGAAATATCCTATAGAAGTAAGTCTCTCGCGAAAGAATTGCGCATTTGTAGTTTTTTCAAATTCCGAAGGCTGTTAACGTTTTTGCACAATCAAAACAATAATTATTAAAAAATTCGAAACTAAAAACATATCTTAGAAAACACCTGAGACATTGAGAAATGTTACGTTTAAAAATTTATTATACACGTATCTAATCAATATTCTTTGAACAAATGTCCCGGGGTAATTGGAACGGTTACCTTATTTGACCGCGCTAGGCGAGGTCACGCGGAAGTTGTAAAGTCTCGCAAGAATGATTTCGAATAATCTATCAAAAAGTATTTTTACTGCAAAAAAAAACAGGGACGTCGACTTCGCGTTTCATTAATTCAACGATTCAAGTCACCGACTTATTAATTTTGATTTGTCACGCGTGCGTTAACTTCTATACGCGACAAGCTAGTTATCGCCGCTTTCACCGGGGGGAGAGCCCGATGTTGCTGATCAAACAAGAACAAATAATCGATCTCGCGGGACGAGCACGATTTGCTGCTGTATCGCGACCGATCTCCGCTCGTTTCTCCGTAGAACGAGACGTTCTCGTGCATATTAATTTCAATCCACTTGTGCGGGATGGTTAATACCCAAATTACACGGCGACCGCTATACGGCGAGTGACACATTACCGCCGAGGGATGGTAATTAATTGACACCGGACGAGATCTCAAGTCTCTAAATTATTCCGGGCGAGAGCACGGGAGAGAGAACACATCGGTGTACAAGGCCGCCGCGACCCACAGAAGAAACGAAATCGCAAGCGGCGCGCACCACGTGCTTCTCTTCTCGGCGCCACCGCCGCGTTATAATTGCGCTTAAAGAGCTCCGTTTGTTCTGGAAAGCGTTGCGGCATTACGAGTGACACGAAAATAGACCGCGACCCAGAAAACCCGACCGACGCATTCTTGCCTCTTGAAGTCACACACACACACACACCTGCGACCTTTTATCCGAGATCGCTTGCGTCAAGGTCACTTCTCCGAAGTGTGATTAACATAACACTTCCTCTCTCTCTCTCTCTCTCTCTAATATAAGATTTCGAAGAAGTTTCCGAACAAGCGAGAAAGAATTTGACGATGTTTGAAACAAAGTATTAATTTGCGTCGCGCTTTTTCTTGGAGAGTACAAAAAAGTACTGAAAAATTTTGTTTCTTTATAACAAATGGCCAATGAGACACCTATCTCACGTATTTTTCATTTCTCGCGCAAAGATGAAACTTTTTTTTATCGGTCTGTCTCAAAAATAGAAGTGATCTAGCAACGCGCGAACGCATATTAGAGGCGGAACAAAAGTCTCATTCAAAAAGGCCGGTCGTTGCGAGATCTAACGTTTGTTATTCGTCTCGCGATAGGTCTCGCAAACCTATTCCAGGCACGAAATATTACGCGTGTGTCTACAGTTCGCTTGTGCAAGAAGACAAAGAGAAAGAAAGAGAGAGAGAGAGAGAGGGAGACAACGCGAAATATGTGATATTCGTCCGTGTGATGATTACTTAGACGATCGCGCAATCAGAGGAGGAAAAGGATCGGATGCGATCGCGCGGCGTTAGTCTTGACGTGATTTGTGCCTTTTCTTTTCCCGTGAAGAAACGATACTGCGTCTTGAGCAAACTTCCGGCAGAGAAATTAATATTAACGGACGGGTCGCGCAATCGGACAAATCGATACCGCGCGGCGCTGTAAACTCAGGGGGGGTCGCAATAATCGCGATAATCGATCCTCTCCCTCCCCCATTTAATTAATCACGAGCGGAGTCAAAACGCGCGATATCAAAACGCGCGCGATCTCTAATTGGAATCTCGTTCGCGCGGTAGCGATATTAATTACGTAACAAACACAGTTTTACACTGGATGATCGCAGGCGCGCGATTATTACTCGGATTAGAAATACCGGACGGTTGCGTCGTTTAATTATAATCGCTTATTATACGTTTACTTTCACTTCGGAAGATATTTTCTTGTCCCGTATATAAAACCCATCAATCGTTTCTTCACGCTCGCACGGTTGTACCTTTAAACGAGGGGCGCGCGACGGAAAGATGACAACCGAAGATTTGGAGAGGCGGAACTTTAACGCTTGTTATAACAAATCACAAATACAACGTATTGTAAACTAATAATTAGAAAAAAGTAATACACAAATTATACACTGAAAAAATTGTATTCTTGTTTTGAGGAGAGATATCCCACTTACTTTAAGTATATTTTATACTAAAATAGGCGCCAAGAAGAGTTTCTTATTTTAAGAGGAAAATCCTCTAAATAGTAATATTGATAA